TCATTGACTCCCATGTTAAAAATACCAATTTCACAGCAGAAATAAACATGTTTACAGCCTGGTACCAAAACATGTTTTTTGTTTAAATGATCTAGTTTACACCCATGACAACTCTGAGGGGGGTGAATTTTTTTCTCATTCTTCTGTTTAAGTGTATTAAAAGCCTAAAATTCTGTATAATTAATGAGCATCAGACCCACGTGACCACAGAGCTAGCTCCGTGGAAAGGCCTCAGTTGAGCCTCGGTCTGGCCTGGAAACTGCTCCGGCATTTTGAGTCTCTGTGTTTGTGTATTCTTCTTTGGATATTTTTAGTGCAATTGTTGGACAAAATGACTTGCTGTGGCATTAATTGCACTAATAGAGCATCCAAGGAGTCTCCGCTTCATTTTTTTCGGTAAGTAAAATTATATTTATGTATTTTAGGTCACTGCCGAGCTGAGCTTAAATTTTAACATGTACTGTTTAACCATGAAATTTAAATGTAATAGGGTAAAACCCAGTGCATTTAACATAATGCTGCATTTTAGAAAATGGGTTGAAATATAACATGTTGGTGGAGCTGGGTTCTGACTATCGGCTTGTGGAGCTCTAGGGAGACCGATGTTTTCCACCCGGTTCTCCCCTCCCCGCAGCTCGGCGCTTCTCTGTCTGATCGCGGCTTCTGACTGCTGCGCGGGCTGACGGCTTGTGGAGCTCTGGGACGGAAACCTTTCCACCCGGTTCTCCCCAGCAGCAGCTCTGCGCATCTCAGATCGCAGCGGCGCTTGTCTGCTGTGCGGCTGCCGGCTTGTGGAGGTCTCGGAGACCTCTGTGTTCCACCCGGTTTTACCCAGCGGTCAGCCCGGCGTATCTCTGACTCAGAAGCTCTGGTGTTGTGCACAGTTAACTCCGGTTGTAGCTAGGTTGCTATCTCCGTTAGCTTAGCTCCCACCTCCGCATTAGCTTTGGGTTAGCTTCAGGTTAGCTTGTAGCTAGTTCGACCGGGTGTCGTCAGTTGATCCCAGCCTTAATGCCCCACCCTCAGCTCCACCTCTCTTCCCTTTTATGGAATTGTCTGGGCTTGACGGAACCTGTGACACAGTCAAAATGGCGGTGGTGGCCACCTCCCATTTTAGTACAAAAACTTATTATTGGAGCCTATGGAAACCCATTGTCCATATATGTATGTCGATGGATCAAACAGACTCATTTCAGTTACTTTGAGCCAATTCAGAGGGCGACATTGTCCTCTACTGCCCACGCATAAACAAGTCATCAGTAACACCTGTGCCACTCTGATGAAGGCGACAGGAAGGAGCCAAAACTGTAAGTTGAAAGGTAGAGAATACAACTTTTACTACTCTCTGTGTAAATAAGAATCATCCATCCATCCTTTTTCATCCGCTTAGCCTAAGCTAAGTTTCTGGAAAACCTCACCAGGGAGGTGTTCAGGACTCATCCTAACCAGATGCCCAAGACACATTAAATGGTTCCTCTTAATGCGGAGGAGCAGCGCGTCTACTCCGATCCCCTCCCGGATGACTGAGCTTCTCACCCTATAGGGAGAGCCCTGCCAGCCTACAGAGAAAACTAATTTCCACCGCTTGTACCCGTGATCTCGTACTTTCAGTCACCACCCAAAGCTTGTGACCATAGATGTGGGTTGGTAAATCAATTGGTAAATTGAGAGCTTTGCCTTCTGGCTCAGCTCTCTCTTCACCATGACAGATCAGTACAAAGCCTGCATCACTGCAGATGCAGCACCATTCCGCCTGTTGATCCTCATTTTTCCCTCACTCGTGAACAAGACCCCGACAAAAATCAGACAAAATTATTAAAGGTATGGTTGACTGAAAAAAAATGTTTTTATGATTATAATCAGTCACAATGAGTTTTTCATGCAGACTAAACATGAAAATAGTCTCCTACACCTATGTCCTGCATTAGCTTCTGATAGAAAATAGACAGTTAAAATCTAGGATTTGAAAAGCTTCACAGATCTATGTCACACTGTAAATTAGCATCTTGGACTTACCCATCTTGACTCACAACGGGAAAGGCTGTTAATGTAACATCTGAGAGTCAGCAGAGGACATCTCAGCTAGTTTAAGCTAACTGTTAGCATTAGAAACTTCTCCACACAGCAGAAGCTCCTCCAGGCTTGTGTTATTTGTGGGTTTTTTTAGATCCAAAGAACCTATGTAAGGCAGGTTAGTTGCTTAGTAGTTGCAGCTTCGGTTGTAGCTCACTTATATTTTTAAAAGTAAAAGTCTCGTTATTTATTTATATTGAAACTTATTCGTATAAAATATGACATTATCTTCCGTGTCACGTGACTTTATGTGACCGCCATGGTCACGTGATGCAAGCCTGTTCCATTTAACTGTTTTCTTTGACCAAGGAAGGACAGTGTCCTTGTAAGTAAGGCGCCTGGCCTTGCAAGACATCACGGCCAGGCGCCTTGACATTGAAAAACACCCCAGGAAATAAGACTACAAAACATGCCGTCTGAAGCTTAGCTGTGAGCAATGGTGCACCAGTATATGTCTTCCCCTCGTGAATGACTCACGTAGCATTAATTCGTTCTAGAAACCACTGCAGATGTATTGATTAAACGAGTGATCTACTCCTTTAAGAAGGCAAAACACAGAATGAACTAAAAAGTTGCAACTAAAAAAATGATGATTAAACCAAAAAATATGAATATTACATTCTTCTAGCCTGGCCTGCCAGACTCGTCCTCTGTTTAATTCTGCACAGAGGAAGAGTCTGGTAACTCACAGGCAGAGGTACATGGGGGGCAGGACTAGGCAGCTCAAAAATGATCAGCCAGAAAAAGACGGCCATGCCGACTGTACTGCGCGACGCTGTACTTTTTTAGCTATAGTAAAAATAAATAAATAAAATACGGCGCAAACATCTTTTTTTTTTACAAGAAAGGCTTTTAGCGCTTCGACTTGTTGTGGTTTTAAAGACATTTGAGTCATTTAGAACAGAGGAAAGACCCGCAGTGAACTCCACCGCTGCCATCGTTGTTTATGAGAAACTGAGCGTCGCTGTGTGTGACGTCCGCGACGCTGTAGTTTTTTAGCTGTAGTCAAAAATGGAGTCTGGCGACGGCGCAAACATCTTTCTTTAGAAGAAAGGCTTTTAGCGCTTCTACTTGTTGTTTTAAAGACGTTCAAGTCATTCAGAACAGAGGAACGAGCCGCAGCGAACTTTGCTTCAGTCGCCATGTTTATGACAAACTCGGGGTTATGGTGTGTGATGTACGATTCTCAGCACTGATTGGCTCGGTTAGAATTCTCAGGGGGTGGTGTTATTTGAATAGAAGAGTTCCCAGACAATTTCTCTGTGCAGAATTAAACAGAGGAGGAGTCTGGCAGGCCAGGCTAGCATTCTTCCCTTTTGCATATTTAAAAAAACATGTAGACCTTGAATGTGTTACCTTGGCTTTTAAAGAGTTTTACTCACTGAGCAACAGACTCTTTCAACTCTTTCTGGTTAAACTTCTGTTTTTGGAGAACCGACTCACAGAAGATCCGTCACGTATAACCCTCTCAGGCTCAAAATAAGTTTTGATAAAAGGACAAACAACTAAGTCCTTCAGGGGTACTTCTGAGTTACAAAATGCTCACGAAATATGTATGTGGAGTAACCAGGTAGGTAGGTTTTAACGTTGCAAATCTGCAACGCCTGCCTCCAGAGGGTTAAGGGGGCCAACAGTAAGCAGAGCCAGATATTTCAGCCGCTGCTGGGAGCAGAAAATTCAGATAGGAATGTACTGAATGTGATTTCTTCCAATTAGACCTGCTGCTCACAGCGCCGGTGGGTTGATTTAACGTCAGACCACAGTGGAGTGATTGAAGACACGTTGGAAGAACAGCAGCTGAGGAGTTATGAGGAGGGGATGAGGCAGGAATGCAGCAACAGAGAAAAAAGAGGCATGAAAACAAAAAGAAAGGAGAAGAAAGAATGAAGGAGAGGAGAGTGGATGAAGAAATTAGATGAAGGAGGATGAAAGATCACAGGACACAGAGCTGCTGTGGCTGCTAATGTGACGTGCATGACACCAGTATAGCTTGGTTTGTGTGTGTGTGTGTGTGTGTGTGTGTGTGTGTGTGTGTGTGTGTGTGTGTGTGTGTGTGTGTGTGTGTATGTGTGTGAGTGTGAGTGTGTGTGTGTGTGTGTGTGTGTGTGTGTGTGTGTGTGTATGTGTGTGTGTGTGTGTGTGTGTGTGTGTGTGTATGTGTGTGTGTGTGTGTGAGTGTGTGTGTGTGTGTGTGTGTGTGTGTGTGTGGGTGTGTGAGTGTGTGTGAGTGTGTGTATGTGTGTGAGTGTGTGTGAGTGTGTGTGTGTGTGTGTGTGTGTGGGTGTGTGAGTGTGTGTGAGTGTGTGTATGTGTGTGAGTGTGTGTGAGTGTGTGTGTGTGTGTGTGTGTGTGTATGTGTGTGAGTGTGTGTGAGTGTGTGTGTGTGTGTGTGTGTGTGTGTGTGTGTGTGTGTGTATGTGTGTGAGTGTGTGTGAGTGTGTGTGTGTGTGTGTGTGTGTGTGTGTGTGTGTGGGTGTGTGAGTGTGTGTGAGTGTGTGTATGTGTGTGAGTGTGTGTGAGTGTGTGTGTGTGTGTGTGTGTGTGTATGTGTGTGAGTGTGTGTGAGTGTGTGTGTGTGTGTGTGTGTGTGTGTGTGTGTGTGTGTGTGTGTGTGTGTGTGTGTGTGTGTGTGTGTGTGTGTGTGTGTGTGTGTGTGTGTGTGTGTGTGATGAAACGTTGGAAGAAAAATAAGGAGATCAATGTAACATTTTGTGCGAGCTTTTACTATCACATGATGTAGCCTACTGTCACACTAAAGTCAAGATGACTTGTGAGCACACACACACACGCACGCACGCACACACACATGCGCGCATGCACGCACACGCACACACACGGAAAAGCAACTTTTAAAGTTATTCTATGATGCAGTACAAATGTTGATTGACGTCTCAGTGCATTTCTTCTTTTAAATACAGCACAACTCCTTTTATTGGCATTATTTTTATTTTCTTTGTTTGGGTAAAACTACTTTGAAGCATACCAGCCTTGGTAATGAGTCAAAATAAAATAATGAAAAGCAAGCTTAGCCATCGAAGCATTAAAGCCACAAAGTATAAAACACAGCTGGTATCACACAAAATATCAGTAGTTCAGAAAAATACATAAAGCATAAGATTAAACAGATTTATGTGAAAAGTATGAAACAACATGTCAGCTTTATTTAATACAAATACACATTTAAGCAGAAATACATGAACAGGAGCTGCATCACACAGCCTCACACTGGTGATGCCGTCTTTATAATGGCAACATCAAAGTGAGACTCAGTGCCTATTTTCCTTAAGTTCAACTGTCCAAGACTTAACCCATTTCCACAGGCCAATTCAGTCACATTTCTGTGTACAATTCAGTTATTATTTTACTTTTTGTAGATATAGTGGGGTTAAAAAGTATTTGGCACCCACTAATACAGCAAGGTTTCCCACTTAAAAAGGTGAGAGGTCTGTAATTTTCATCACAGGGACACTTCACCTGTGAGAGACAGAATGTAAAAACACAGGAATTTTTAAAAAATATGTTTGTATAATGGTGCAAAAAAAAATCAGGATTTGGTCAGCAACAAAGGTTTGTAATGTAATTTTATTTGGTAATGACAACGGCCAAACATTTCCTAGGTCTTCACAAAGTTTGCACACACTGGTGCTGGTATTTTGGCCCATTCTTCCATGCAGATCTTCTCTAGAACAGTGATGTTTTAGGGCTGTCACTAGGACTTTCAACTTCCTCCACAGATTCTATTAAATTGAGGTCTGCAGACTGGCTAGGCCACTCCAGAACCCTGGGATGCTTTTTCTGGAAGATCAAGCCACATTTCATCTTCAGTGCTCTCACTGATGGAAAGAGGTCTATGGCCAAAATCTCACCATACAGTGGGGCCAAAAAGTATTTAGTCAGCCACCGATTGTGCAAGTTCTCCCACTTAAAATGATGACAGAGGTCAGTAATTTTCATCATAGGTACACTTCAACTGTGAGAGACAGAATGTGAAAAAAATCCATGAATTCACATGGCAGGATTTTTAAAGAATTTATTTGTAAATCAGGGTGGAAAATAAGTATTTGGTCAATAACAAATTCAACTCAATACTTTGTAACATAACCTTTGTTGGCAATAACAGAGGTCAAACGATTACTATAGGTCTTTACCAGGTTTGCACACACAGTAGCTGGTATTTTGACCCATTCCTCCATGCAGATCTTCTCGAGAGCAGTGATGTTTTGGGGCTGTCGCCGAGCAACACAGACTTTCAACTCCCTCCACAGATTTTCTATGGGGTTGAGGTCTGGAGACTGGCTAGGCCACTCCAGGACTTTCAAATGCTTCTTATGGAGCCACTCCTTTGTTGCCCGGGCGGTGTGTTTGGGATCATTGTCGTGTTGGAAGACCCAGCCACGTTTCATCTTCAAAGCTCTCACTGATGGAAGGAGGTTTTGGCTCAGAATCTCACGATACATGGCCCCATTCATTCTGTCCTTAACACGGATCAGTCGTCCTGTCCCCTTAGCAGAAAAACAGCACCAAAGCATGATGTTCCCACCCCCATGCTTCACAGTAGGTATGGTGTTCTTGGCATGCAACTCAGTATTCTTCTTCCTCCAAACACGACAAGTTGAGTTTATACCAAAAAATTCTACTTTGGTTTCATCTGACCACATGACATTCTCCCAATCCTCTGCTGTATCATCCATGTGCTCTCTGGCAAACTTCAGACGGGCCTGGACATGCACTGGCTTCAGCAGTGGAACACATCTGGCACTGCAGGATTTCGGGGAGAAACTCCCACTGGGTTTAAATCTGGGACTCTCCACCATTTGACCTTAGAACTGAAGAAGCCTCTCGGATGAGAGGTGAAATGTCTTCAAGCAACTCAAAGAAGTCCAGACGCTTTTCTTTCAAAGCTCATTAGACTACAATGACCTGGATGACTGAGAACCTTCACAGACACACTGCAGGATTTGATTCCCTGCCATTGTAGTGTGTTACTGATGGTGATTTTTGTTACTGTGGTCCCAGCTTATTTTCCACCCTGATTTACAAATAAATTCTTTAAAAATCCTGCCATAAGAATTCATGGATTTTTTTTCACATTCTGTCTCTCACAGTTGAAGTGTACCTATAATGAAAATTACTGACCTCTGTCATCATTTTAAGTGGGAGAACTTGCACAATCGGTGGCTGACTAAATACTTTTTGGCCCCACTGTATGTGGCACCATTGCTTGCTTGTCTGTAGGTGCTAAAAACTTATTTTCTGAACTCTTATATAAATAAATTATTTTAAATCATACATTCTGTCTATCATAGTTGAAGTGCAACCATGATGAAAATTACGGACATCTAATATTTTTAAGTGGGACAACTTGCATAATCAGTGGCTTCCAAATACCTTTTTACCCTGCTGCTCTCTGAACGGCCTCATTTAGAAATGGGTGTTTCTCAATGTCAAGGAACCTCGCCTTGATGTCTTGGCCCCGCCCCGGTTGTCTAGGAGATACGTCACCAGGAACCGCCAAGGCATGCTCAAGTGATCATGTTCTACCGAGGCGTACGTTCTCCGTTTGTTAGCCGTTTAGCTAGCTGAGCAAGGATACACGAGAGGTGTCTTGTAGCCTAGGCTTGGTCAAAAATTACCCAGAATACACCGCAGCATTTTCAAAAGGATGGCGGATCAGAAGCTGTCAGCTACTTCGGGGGATAATTTTCAAGTTTAAATGTAAGTCAATTAATTGTAGCTGTTGGGCTGATATCTGAAATTTTTTTCTTTTTAGATCCAAAAAAGTTATCTATGGTTGGTTAGCTGCTTAGTAGCTGCAGCTTCGGTGGCTAGCGGGTAGTAACTCGCTTATATATTTCATTTAGGCTTGTTATACATTTTAATTGAAACTTATATCTCCCAAGTCACGTGACGTTACATGAGTGCCGCGGAAAGCCATGGTCACGTGATGCAAGTCTGTTCAATTTAACCGTTTTCTTTGACCAAGGAAGGACAGTGTTCTTGTAAGCAAGGCGCCTGGCCTCGCAAGATATCGCCTTGCGAGGCCAGGCGCCTTGACATTGAGAAACACCGATGGAGTTTATGCCACCCATGTTTTATAAAATAATGTCTTATGACCTGATAAGTGACTGTGTGTCACTATAATTAGCAACTAGTCAGACGCATGTAATATATATATATTTTTTGTTTGTTTGTTTGTTTTTCAAAATTGGAACTAGTCACTAAAATGAGTTACTTTTTGTGTGTTACTGGAGACTTTTGGAGATGCTGACTTAAAAGTAAACTTTGTTCTTAGTCTTCCCAAAGAGCAGCTGGGTTCCTCCCCCATCCCAAAGCCTTCACAGGCAGCCCAGTTGTCATGCAGCAGCTCCCCTTCCACTGACAGTCAAATAATTAATCATAACATTAAACACAACAAAAACACTTGATGATGGCCAAAATTTTCCTTTAACACTCACACCAACCTGTATTTTCCACTCCCATGAATCTTGTAATTACAGTTTTGAAGCCCACTCGTTCTCCCTGGAGAAGGGTTAGAGACGATTTTGAAAAGGCCCATCTGGATAGTGTATGTGACTTCTTAACTGAGAAAGAAAGAACAAAGCCACATTTAATCAGTCCTGCATCCGTTGAGTTTGATCTTTTCAGTTTTTTTCCTCATACGTCCTGCTGTCTCACCTCTTGGTGCCAGCTCAGGCTGTGATGGACTTGTTGGTGGTGCGGGAGTTGCTCTGGTCAGAGGCTCGGTCTGTGACTTTAAGCTTCATACACGACTGCTTTTCATCTAGCAGCATTTCTGCTGGAAGACACCAGCAGAACAGACAGGACTGGAAGAAAAGTGGACAGAAAAGTTGATGTTTGGGGAAAATATGAGGCAGAGCGGAACAGAAAGAATCTGAATGACATTCGGTTTGACAATTCATTCACAGACTACGTTTACATGCAGCCAATATCCGGGTTATGATCGGGTTAAGGTCGGTATTCGGGTTTCTGAGTTGATCAGAATAACCCGTTTACAAGCATAGATAGAAAGAGTTACCCCTAACTTGCGTAACCCGATTTAAATGCGGACGTTGGGGCAGCGTCAGGACGTATGGACTACGTCAAGACGCAATATGCGTCATTTCCGGTTATTCTTGTTCCGGTATCCGTGAAAACAACAACCAGTTCAAAAGAGATAGCGACCGCGTTTGTTTGCGCTTTAGTGCTGGTATTGACCCACCGGCAGCTCTTACAACTACTGTGCGTACTGGCCTTCATTCGAAGGAGAGTACGTGGGCAAGAAATGGCAAATATAGAGAGAGAGCTGCGCTAAACATACAAGACGTCTCGCTACTCAAAAGACCAAGATTCCTTGCGAACAGAGCATGCGCAGAACACACGCTTTGATGGGGATATCCCGATATGCGTTTACACGACCAAACATTCGGGTTCGAAAAGGGTTACCCCAGGTGTTGTAACCGGGTTTTGAAAAACCCGGTTATGAGCATATCCGGGGTTTTGGCGGTGTTTACATGGCCGTGCAGAACCGGGTTATTGTGAATATTCGGGTTTTAAAAGGGTTACTGGCTGCATGTAAACGCACTGACTGAGAGATAAAATGAGCACACGGGAAACTTTAAATACCAAAGTAGGGTTCTGTGTAGTTGTTGACAGTAGTCAGTATCTTACATGCAGTAGATAGCAAGCTAATGGCTTATCAGAATGGTACTAAATCCCTGTTTAACTTTTATATTGTTTACTAGGCATTTTGTGGTTTTTAGATCTCTTGTGTTGCTTTTTATTTGCATTTTTATATTTTAAAGACCAAGTTGACTGAGAAACAGTTTTTTATTTTATTTTATTTTTTTGTCAAGTATGATTAGCCAATCTGACTCTGAATGACCATTCATTGACTCACCCATCTCGGCTTAACAGGAATTACTGTTGTTGATGTCGCCTCCAGGAGAGGGCAGAGCAAGTCTAGACTAGTAGAAGCTAGCATTAGCAACTCCACAACATGGCAGAACTCCGTCAGGCTTGTGTTATTTGTGGAGATGAAACATTTTACCAGCGTCAGTGGTAGAGTTGCGGTGATGTTAGCCAATCAGAGGGAAGAACTTACACCCAAAAGATCTCAGCAGCTACAGCCTGGTAGCATTGAACTCATTAAGTTCTCAACCATCTTTGCCACCTGGTGAGGTCTTCACTGAATCTGCTGCAGTTTGCCATACCAGCCTGGCATCGGGGTATATGATGTCATCATCTCCCGTCTACACCGAGCTCTAATGCACCTTTCTGGCAGCTCTTCTCAGCATGAGTCGAATGGGTTTGGTCCAGTTGAACAGCCTTTTCCAACAGCAGTCGGTATTTTCTCCCAACTTCTCAGTTCCTGCCTCAATGTGGTTCCAACCGTTCTGGGCCAAGCCCAAATTCATTTTCAGTGTGACGTAGATCTGACTGACTTTTCTAATTTGAAAGTTTCCGTAATCTATTTTCTATCTAATTCAGGAAATAGAAGTAAAAGTACTTTTACATGTTTTTTTTCCTTTTTGTTTCTTTTGTTCTTGTTGTGAATCTCGATTGCTGCTGTTACACCAAAATTCCCCCAATGAGAGACAGTAAAGTAAAAATCCTTTTCTACTTGTCTGTGCAGTTTCCATCAGAGTACTCATGATGACACATTTTGCCACATTTTTCAATACTAGCAAATCAGTTGTTCGTATTTTGATATGTTAGTATATGTGCAAACTGATGCATATAACACATAATGTTGTTTGTCTTGAATAAGTAATAGGCATTTTCATTCCATTTCTTATTTTTTTTAATTTGCCTGAAATAAATGAAAAATAACCAGTTTTCTTGTCTGGAGATCGGACCGCCAAGGCTCCCGCCTTGGTCTGCCACCCAATCCACATTGCACCGGACCCTTCATGTTCCTCCTGCGGGTGGTGGGTCCACAGTTGGATGAGCCCATGTATCCGGTTCGGGCTGGGCCCGGCCGGGCCCCATGGGCGAAAGCCCGGCCACCAGGCACTCGCTCACGGGCCCCAATCCCAGGCCTGGCTCCAGGGTGGGACCCCGGTAACCCTCCGGGCTGGGTACTCCGACTCTTTGACTTTACCTCCATGAAAGATCCTGTGAACCTGTGAACCGTTCTTTGTCTCAACCTTCACTTAAGACCAATTTGTTCATGGGAGACCCTACCAGGGGCACGAAGTGCCCCAGACAACATAGCTCCTAGGATCATTAGGGCATTCAAACTCCTCCACCACGATAAGGTGACGGTTCAAGGAGGAGTTAAGGAGGGAGGGAGCTGAGCCAGAAAGCCAGGCTCTCGATTTACCGGTGGATCTACGTCCCAATCCTCACCTATGGTCATAAGCTTTGGGTAATGACCGAAAGAACGAGATCGCGGATACAAGCGGCCGAAATGAGTTTCCTCGGTAGGGTGGCCGGGCTCAGCCTTAGAGATAGGGTGAGGAGCTCGGACATTCGGGAGAGACTCGGAGTAGAACCGCTGCTCCTCCGGATCGAAAGGAGCCAGTTGAGGTGGTTTGGGCATCTGGTCAGGATGCCTCCTGGACGCCTCCCTGGGGAGGTGTTTCGGGCATGTCCTGCCGGCAGGAGGCCCCCGGGTCGACCCAGGACACGTTGGAGAGGTTACATCTCCAATCTGGTCCGGGTACACCTTGGGGTCCTGCCGGAGGAGCTGGTGGAGGTGGCCGGGGAGAGGACGGTCTGGAGCTCCCTAGTTGGGATGCTGCCCCCGCGACCCGGACCCGGATAAGCGGAGGAAGACGACGACAATGATAAATAAATAAATAAATAAAAGCATTTATTACTGGCAATAACCTTCCCAATGCAAAAACAAGAGCTCTAAAGCAATTCATCAGAGGGTCATTGGATGAATGAAAAAGTTGACATAACTGCTGTAGATTCTGATCAAACTGGAAATTATTTTATTTTATTTGAATTACTTACTTTAATCCTGCTCTGACCTATCTGCCAGACCACCATGTTAAACAGAAAACAACAACAGCTAATTAGGAAAAATCTGTTAGACTTAAGTCCTCCCACTTATTCTTGTACTTACCATGACATTTTATGTTTCAAAGTAATAATCTCCACTCTCCTCTGCCTTTGATTGGCTTAGATTAGGACAGTTTTGCCCAATCACTAGAGCATCTGTTGACAGGATGATGCTGCGTTCAAGACTACATGGAAATCCCTAATAAGCCATCTTCTGTGTCGATGGAAAACAAATTGGGGGTTTAGAGCTGTTAGCTTGTGCCTTCCATGAGAGCAGGTAAGATACTCACCCACCTCAATAAATCCAGCCTATTCCTGTAAAAGAAGCATCACCTACCCTAAAGCAGTTCTTGAAGCGCTTGCTGACCATGTACAAGGCAATTGGGTTGATACAGGAGTTGACAGAAGCCATGTTGATTCCAATGTAGTCCAACACCAAGAAGAAACTGAAGCACAGAGACACACTGCGTCATGTCTACCCCGTTTCCCTCCAAGAGTCTTACGTGAAGGTCTTTCCCTCGTACCTGAGCAGCTCACAGCGGTTTGGATCCTCTTCATCATAGATGGTGAGCTTTAGGATGCGGCTGATGTGGAGAGGCAGCCAGCACAGAGCGAAGACCAGAACCAGACAGAACACGGTCTTCGCCACCTCCCTCCGCTGAACACACAAACACACATAAATCAGCACCAGACCCTGAAACAACTGCTGTGAGAAGCTAGCTTCAGTTGATGATTGAAAACATACGCTTTTCCATAAACCTCTAACAAATCAAGTTAGTTAAAACACCCTCTGTCTCTAATTTAGCTGGTTTATTGCTGATGCTTGAAAACACGTATGTATTTTTATGGCTATTATTCAACTCATTCAACGTTTTTTTTAATGTGCTTGAACAGCTTTAATATCACCTGACCTGTTTAAGGTGGTCACTGAGAGCAATCTGCACTCCGTTCTTCTTCCTCAGCATCTCGCAGGTCATCAGGGTGTAAAAAATGGCGGTGCAGGCCAGTGGCAGGCAGAAATACACACTGAAGAGCCACCAGTCTTTGGCTAATTTGTAGGTCTACACAGAGGGAACAGAAGAAGAAGGCTGGATTGTTATCAAACATCTGATGGAAAGCAGAAGAGGCTGATTTAGTGGAGTGCGACCGCAGGATGACCTGGCGTGAAGGGAGAACTCAAGGGTGTGTTTCAAAAGTTAAATTATTAAAAGGTTTCAGTGAGATGGAAGCTGCAGAGTTCAAGGAACTGGAACATACATAAACTCACGCAGCATGTAAAATAATTGCTTTTTCCTGTGAAATATGTTTGGCGATCATTTTCTGTGAACTTGTTCTTACCTCATAGTCATTAAGTTGTCACAGTGTGATTGTGAATGCTTTTATGCTAAGAAGGCTTTCATATTTACGCACAGCATGCACATCTGCACTGTGTCTATGTCTCATTTGTGTGCTTTTGGTGCTCTCAGCTGAGTCAACACATGCCATTTGACTCGAAATGATCAGGAAAAGGTCTCTGAGGACTGGTGTGTCTCAGCTCACCCTCATGAAACTTGTTTTCTGCATGGGATGCAGCAGGCAGATTCTCAAGGCTTCCCCTTTGTAGTCCATGGTGACCATGTCAAAGGCTATTGCTTCTGGAACAGCCAGGATGATGGATAAGATCCAGATGAGGGCGATCTCGATGGCCATCCATTTTGGGACTCCAATTCCTTTGATTCGACTCCAAGAGGCCACAGCGCGATACCTGGAGGATCCGTGAATGTGGAGTCAGTTACATAAGGGACCTGTCTCTGGTCTTAAGAATCCTGTGGAGGTTTAATCTCATTAATGTATGCATAGTTTATAGTGAAGGCACTTAAACAGTAGATTATAACAACACGAAATAGCTTAACACGTTAAGCTATTGCTTTCTAACTGGTTTTTGTGGTTCTTGACCTATAAGCTACTCGAGAATTACATTGGACAGCACTCTGTAGCTCTCTGCTGACCAGAAACCACTCTTAAGCTTGGTTTACGCTTGACGCGTCCACGAGGTCCGCACGTCTCCGTGCAGCAAAATTGCGTCATTTTAACAACCACGCCCCTCCACCGCGCCTCTGCACGGCCCAGACTTTCCGCACCGCGCAACTAGGAAATTTTCTAACCACGCGGACGGTTGGATGCAGAAAAACATGGCGGACTGGCAAGAACTAGTCTGGCAGAGGTTCGTAAATACAGACATTTGTATGATTCAGCTCTCAGAGATCACCGTGATCAACATGTTGTTAATAATTCTTGGAGAGAAATAGCTCACACTGTCGGAAAAGACGAGGACGCTGTTAAAAATGCTGGAATGCCATGTTGTAAACAACAGTAATTTCTACTTCTACTATGGTGTAGTGTTGGAAGCATGCCGTAGAGCTCCCTGCTGCCCCCTACAGTTTGGGAGAATATTGGCTCACCACAGAGACAAGCCGCATGAACCATAAACGCTGCAAGTTGTGAAGCGCGTTCCATCTGCGGAAATGAAATGCGTCAAGCATAAACCAAGCCTTAACAGTTTTGAGGTTCAGATAGGAACACTAGTGGGAGGTCTCTGACTACTTTACAGCAATCTGTTTACTGTACCGTCAGCTAATCAAAAGCCTAGCAGTTAGCATTTTCAGTTTGCTGGCTGTCAGTTAAGAGGACAAGACAAAGAATAATAAGAAGAGGAATTATCTTTTTTTTGTTTGCATCATGGCAGAGCCTAGAAGTAAAAGTAAGAGAATAATTTCTTTGGAGTTGACGTAAAGAGACAACGAGCTAAAACCATAGTGAACATCTCTGCGGCCAACATTAGTTTGAGGGAGCTAATGGACGCTATGAAATCATGGACTGATGCTGACCTGTCTTTGTTGCTACTGGACGTGGAATATTTGCTGTTTTTCATGGCTTATCAGTTGGCTTGTGTTAGCTTAGCTTTTTGTACGTTAGCTACAGCAGCAGGCAGGCTTTGAATGTGATCTAAATTGTGTCAAATACATAAATATTACATACATAATTGCTTCATGAAATAAAAAATATGTAGTGGGATACATCTAGCTATTTTCCTTTTCAAACACTTTGTTTAGTTTTCTTGTTTTTTATTTGACTATTTTTCTGTCCTGTCTGTCTCTGTTCTCCTTGCATCTCCTCTCAATCCTACAGAAAAACTGCTGCCTGGCTTTCTAAATTTTCATCTCATTAGTTACTTTTGAACTAAGCAGTTCAAAGGGATCTACCGGCCCCAAAAATAGCAGAGTGTGTGTTGTGCACCGGCTGCATCCATGAGGTGTAGTCACCGGCGCATAAGACAGGTGATGCGCTCCACTCTGCAGCACATCAGGCCCAAATAAAAGGCACCAGAGGATATGAGCCAACATAAACTATCTGTGTTAATTATATTTTTTGGACTGGCAATGCTTTGAAAATGATACTGAGGCCATGTGCAGGATGCAACTGGCTGAAGCGCATCAACGATCAGCGCTCTGCTTCCTCTACGCTCAAAAGGATCCCCGGAGAGTCCACATAAATAAAGAGCATAACCAGGAACTTTTATGGGCTCCCCCTGAGTGTGTAAGCTGAGGGCTCCCCTTAGCTCCCCCGTAATTTGAGCTGTGCATATCACTCTACATTCATGCTATGGCTTCTATCTTGAAATAATCAGTTGTAAGGATCTATCCATCCATCCATCCATCCATCCATCCATCCATCCATCCATCCATCCATCCATCCATTCATCATCATTCATCCATCCATCCATCCATCCGTCCATCCATTCATCATCATCCATCCATCCATCCATCCATTCATCATCATTCATCCATCCATCCATCCATTCATCATCATTCTTCCATCCATCCAACCATCCATCCATCCATCCATCCATTCATCATCATTCATCCATCCATCCATCCATCCATCCATCCATTCATCATCATTCATCCATCCATCCATCCATCCATCCATCCATCCATCCATCCATCCATCCATCCATTGTCTGAACCCGCTTTGTCCACGTAGGGTTGCGGGGGGGCTGGCGCCTATCTCCAGCGGTCAATGGGCAATCAGGCGGGGTACACCCTGGACAGAGAGCCAGTCCATCGCAGGGCACAGTTGTAAGGATTTCTGAACTAAATCAGTCTGTGATTCATAACATTCCAGACAAACAAGCATACACACAGGCAAAACATTATTGTCTGCATGCTAACTTTCTACGGCAGCCAATAACAAGAACACAGGCAGCTATATTTGAAAAATCCTTGGGTTGTGGTGTCATACCTGTCGATACTCAGTGCACACAGACTCAACACGGTGATCCCCACCGAGGCTTTCTGGACAAACGGCACAAGCTTACACAGAGTCACCCCAAAGGGCCAGTCTTTTGCCAGCAGCTGGAGACGGATTGCAAAACAAAAGCTTGGTCATTGTTTTAAAATATGGCAAAACATCTTTCATCACAATCGCTTGTGTTTCCAGCCACAGAAATGTAGTGCAGAACAAATATGCATGAAGCTTGGGCTGCATCTAGCTGAAGCCTGAGGCATGAAATTCTAGTCAAACCATTTCCTTTGTAATCATTTAATGATAATTAGACTAAGGGTCCCTTTCTTAACGTTACTTGGTGCATTATTAAGCATTAAAAAACCATTAAGTAAAGTGTTAAAAACTGCGTTTATGCATTATATAGCATTACTAAACATGTTGTTTAATGCATTATTAAGCAGTTAACTAACGTCTGTTACTGAACCATAGTTAATGCAGCACTAAGCTTTAAATAATACTTCCATTATTTAATTACTTTGCATCCCATGTGTTGATTACTATGTTAGTTAATGAGTTAATAACCATTAATAATTATTGAAGTAATCATTTATTCTGGTTGTGTATTTGCAGCGAATAAGCAATCAGAAACAGCTAACTAATGCATCCACTTATCCTACCCTGTACTTTGGATGTTACTTAGATGGGCATTAATAAACATTCAATTAATGTCTTACTAATGCTGTAATGTGTTTGTTATCAGGAAGCCCTTACCTGAACTTAGGTAAGGTAAAAACATTGATCCCCATTGGAAACACTTTCTAAATGCTTAATAGACTCCCAAGCATTACTTAACCACAATTAATCATTAATAAATTAAATGTTGACCCTTATTGTAAAGTGTAAATGTTTATCCATTTATAAACATTTTCTAAATGCCCAATAGACTCATACGCATTACTTAAGCATTAATTAACCCTAATTAATCATTACTGAATGAATTTTGGGCCCTTAGGTCAGTAATACAGTTTAGTTGACTGCTTAATAGTGCATAAAAAATTATGGTTGGTGATGTTATGTAATGCATAAAAGCAGTTGTCAACACTTTATTTAATGGTGTATTATACTTAATAACGCACTAAGTAACGTTAATAAAGGAACCCTTATTGTAAAGTGTTACTGATTATAGTCTTCATGATTGGCAATGAATAAATGTATTACATGGATCATCCACTAGAGGTCAGGAGAAAAGTCTAAAACTAGATCAGCAGTTTTATTTTGGACACGTACTAATCCCGTTAAAGAGGTAGATACCAGAGAGGTTCATCAAATGTGATGGATTTGGTATTTTAGGGTAATTATTTTTCTCAGGTGCAACTTTTATGGTCTTTTCTATAAACAACACCTGAGTTAGATCCTCGTGTTTCATTCTGACCTATAAACACAACGCGCAGTAGCTCAGGAAGAACGGGATAACAACGCTAAGCGTGGTAGGCATTAAACTTCTCCATCTTTTTTTGGACGTGTGACTGGAATGTGAGTGGAAATCAACTGGAATCACCCCTAACCTCTATGTCTTCACGCCGCCCTCTGTCCTGACTACATGGTGATATGTAACTGCAACCAGTTGTTTTAACACACTTGCCCGCTAACCCAAACATACTTTCTATCCCGCTCACTCAAACAGAACAAGCCCAACACACAATAACCTGCAGAGGCACGAGGGGATATGGAGGGGCTCTCAATCCAGAGGAGTAATAACATTCTAGAAGCTCTTGGAAGCCCTCCAGCTAGTGTGTGTGTGTGTGTGTTGGGGATGGGTGTGGATAGAGGATTTAAAGCCCAGTGCAGCCAGCGTATTTTTATTTGAGAACAGTTTGTGATGTCAGAAGCCTTTTCTGTGACGTTGTGTGTGTAAATCTCAGCTGCTGAGCTGACACCTGCGACTTGTCTCACCTTATAAACATTAACGGGGATGCCAATGATGATGTGCAGCAGGTCTCCAAGGGCCAGGCTGCCAATGAGGATGTTGGGTCCGTTCCTCATGCACTTATTCTTATATATGATCCTCAGCAGCGTGGCGTTGCCAATGATGCCGACGACGAACACCAGGCAGAACACCACAGTGTTGATGTACTTGAAGGTGTCTTGGATTTCCGTGGGCCCCGTGCACATGGGTGGAAGGCGGCGGCTAGGCCTGGTGATGTTGGACCTCACTGGGCCCTGAACTACCCTCTCCATGATCCTGGGTCTCTGGGTGAGAATCAGAGCAGCCTGGGGGGGCTGCCTCTTTGACTCCAGCTGCCCTCTGGCCACAAGCACGAGAGCCACCAAGAGGAGGACCTCCAGGAGGAGGTGAGTCTTCATCCTGGGGTTTTGTTGGCTATTGTCCCACAAATGGTGCTGATCCTGCTTTTTACCCTTGGAACAAAAATAGCAGGAGATTACCTGAAACTCGTTGGGAAACAGCTGTGCTGAAAGAAACTGCAACAGTAGAGCAGCAAAATGAGCATTTGTATTTTACTTCTAATTCTGTTTATTTCACACCGATGAAAAGTATCTGAAGACACATTTGAAGAACTTTGTTTTCTTTAAAAAGAGGAGCTGCTCCAGGAATTGAGCTCCTCGTTAATCGGACACGTGTGACTCGAGTAACTGAAACACAGGATGATCATGTGATGATAGGTGAGACAGAAAGCAGCAGGTCGCGGATGCATAAGACCTATAGAAGATTTACAAATAAAGACGGAAACAAAATCTAACCTGGCGTTAGAACATTAGTGGTGAACGTTTCCACTTTCAGGAAAATATGTTTCCCTCTTTTTTTTAGTGTAAGCCTTACTTAGAGAACGTTAGCACTCTACCTCTAAAATCATCATTTAGGCTTAATTCTGATTAAGTGAAAAGGACATTACAGCAGATGTCTGACTTGATTTCTTTAAAACATATAAAAATAACTTCAACGACCTAATAAATGCTTTTAATAAAGATAATTACAGAAATGGGAACTCCGAACATGTATTTTTTTAAACTAAAGAAGTTTTATTGACGTCAGCTGGTGTGTTCCAGTTTGTTATTCAAGTTCTGACTCACCTAAAGCCCAGAAGAAGAAACTCCAACAAGCGTGCCTCTTAAATCAAAGCTCCTCAGTAACTCCCAGGACAACAAAAAGTCCCAAATCAGAGGGATGATGATCCATCAGTGACGGTTGAGTCATTGCCAACAGAAGCTAGCAGATCCAAGGAGATCCAGATCTGTGCTCTTCTACCTGCTCGCTCCTCTCTGGTTCTGGCTCTGAAACTGCAGCTCAGAGATCACCGTCTGCAAAGCAGCTCCTCCAACTCCTCCTCTTCTAACGGAGGACAAGAGGGTGGAGGAGAGGAGGACGGAGGAAGGGAGGCAGGATGTTCACCAGTCATCCAACTCATCCAAAGTGTCCTTGTTTTAACGGCTGCCGCGGGCTAGAATCCTAGCTTATGACACAAAGAGCCCTGTTGTGTTTGAAGTGTTGCTGCCTGACGAACTTCTGCTCCGATGGGTCATTTAGTAACGCGGCTACGAGGAGTTTTCATGGCTTCTTCGTGTTTTTTTGTTTTTGCAGAATAAACAACCAAACAATCTCAACTATTCTCACTTTTCAGACGGTTTTAATTGTGTGAATTGACACAACCTAAACAACACGCAGAAGATATCAGCTGTTCGTCTTGCTGAGAACAAACAGAAACCACAAAATATTTCATGACAAAATGGTAAATGGTCTGTATTTGATATAGCGCCTTCTAGAGTCATGGAACCCCCCAAGGCGCTTTACAACACAATCAGTCATTCACCCATTCACACACACACGTTCACACACTGGTGGGGATGAGCTACGATGTAGCCACAGCTGCCCTGGGGCGCACTGACAGAGGCGAGGCTGCCGAGCACTGGCGCCACCGGTCCCTCCGACCACCACCAGCAGGCAAGGTGGGTTAAGTGTCTTGCCCAAGGACACAACGACAGCGACAGACCGAGCGGGGCTCGAACCTGCAACCTTCCGATTGCGGGACGAGCATTTAACTCCTCTGCTTTCATCCGATCTGTCGCTCTTTTATTGTAATGATGTGCTTCATTATCCTGCTGTAATGAAGCAGTTATAAACAACGTCGCTGCTTTTTTCCTCTTAGCGGCTGTAAAAGTGACATTTTTGTTTTTCTGAGACTTGCTGCCTCTGATTAAAATCAAACGAAGCTGCTATAATGATGCTGTTTGGTAGAAGAGCACCTCCCTCCTCCTGATTTCCCCTTAACTCCCTGATGAAGATGAAAATGTGTCATTTCAACCTTTCAGACGGCAGTCAGAGCGATGTCACGATGAAACACCTGCTCATTTTCTGATGATCTGCTGTAAATGGGGATGTGGTCACGGGAAAACAATATTCATGTGAGATGATGTGTGAGCACGACCGGTTGATCACAACAAAAAGTCACACCAACGAGCTTAATGGTTTTCCTTCAAATTTCAATTTTCGTTTCACTTTTTTTTCTAATCCTTCCTGTCCAACAGCCTGAAACGGTAACTAAATGCAGAACTCACAGCTTTAAGGGCCAGTGTGTCACATGTATGATGTCACAGGTATGATGTCACAATCACTGTTGATGTAAAAAGGAAATCTTATGAAGAAAAAATTTACATGAAAGGGAGTTTAAAGATAAGGTTTACAACCTTTCAGTGTATTGTGATATATATGATACACTCAAATTTTTATCTGTCTTAAATTTGAAGGGCTTATAAAACAAAACCAAGCTGTCGTGGTCTGTTTCTTGGTTTTAGTTTCCCTCAGCTCCAATCATTTATTCTGTACAATAAAAATGATGAAAAGAGATTGAATAGTTATATGGTCATTACAAAACATGCTGACGATGTTCTTTGCTCTAAATCCCTCTCACATGAAGCTATTTGAGCAGTTTTATTCAGTACCTTCCAAAATGAGTCATTTGAGGGCTCTATCACTTTAAGAAAACAAGTCGTAGCTGGCCACGCCCACCCATCATCCACTCAAGCTGCTATGAGCTGAGAAGCTCAGATATCTGGGAGGGGCTCTGAGTAGAGCCACTGCTCCTGAAGCATCAACTCTCTTTTGCTTGTGAGAAATGATTCTATGCTAATGTCCCTGTTTGTGACATCACAAATGAAGACTTTTTTGAAATGGCTTGTTTTAGGGATATAATCCCTACAACTAAAGAGGGACACAAACTGGTGGACAGATTTCTTTCATATTTGGAGAGTTCTGAGAAGCAGTAGAGACCCACACGGCAACACAAAACAACGCAAAAGATGAGTTTTGCATCATTTGTCATTTTTAGTATCAATCCAAAAACAGAGAACAACAGACGCTGTTGAGGTTTTACAGGCAGATTAAAGTTAATAATCTGTTTTTGAAATATCCTGATGTTGAGTATCACAAACTGATCGGAAACATTAAAGTCAGTTAGTGATGTGCATCTCTTCAAACAGTAAGCCTTTAATATTACTTCATAAATTAATACTCAATAAGTTAGTTTTTGTGCAAGATTTAGCTAACAAAATAAAAGCATCACTGTTAGTAAAAGGACTTTCTTCTACATGCATGAAAGGTAAAGAATGCCAGAATTTTCTGTCCTGATATTTATTCGTCTACCACAACGCATTACTTGATGGTTCTTATTAAACATGTTTTCATACAACAGCTCTCATGTCTGGGTTCATTCCTTCAGCATTCCTCAGGAGCCCTGAGGTTGGGGGGGATTTAAATAAAAAACATCCTAGCCACTTTTCCTTCAAGGAGAGGTCACCAGCAGACCTTTGTTTTAGTAAGGGATCAAGAAGAATGCAGATACTAAGACGGCCCACTGAGGAGGGGCGAAGGTGTTTAAGTAGAAACATCTGGACAGTCTGCGTAGAAGTCACAAGTGCTTTTTTAAAACCTTGATGTGTTTCCAGAAGGGAGGTGAGTGCAAAGCATCTTTACTTTTAACTCCTAAAATAGTTTGTATAACTCATGATTAATTGCAGCTTTCCCATCAAGCTCTTCTCTTTTCACAGATCTGTCATGTGATGAGAAGGTCATCTGAGAATCTGGCTGAAGATCAGAAGAGCAGCCTTGTGAGCAGTGACAGGATCAGGTTGTTCCACGCAGCAAACAGAACAATAAACCCCTGACCCTGGTCAGTGGTCGGACTTTAATCACTCAGGCAATAAGATTCAAATTCATTTGAGACAACAGGATTTAGGAGTAAGGATTTGGTCAACTGGGAACCCACCAGCACACAACAGATGTCACGTCATTTTAAAATCAAACCCTGTTGGTGGTTTTGGGTTAGGGAAACGTTGTCTTTTGGACTTCTTCGTCGTCTGGGGAGTGTTGCAAAGCAATTCCCTGCCGGCACAACAGGGGGCGTAGTGATTTACTGATGGTCTCTGCTCCACACTAGTGTATTTACGATAGTGTGTTTTATTGTGTTTTTGTATTTCAGAGACTTTTTAACGAGGACAAATTTGTCCCCCATGCTCCATTTTGCCTCTTCATGCAATCACCACCTCTAACCCCACATTTCCCATCATTTCCTTCCATGAAAAAAAGGTTTGCTCCTTCAGTCACAGGTGTATCAACATCTCTCTCAGTGCGCCCAAGGGCAGCTGTGGCTACATTGTAGCTCATCACCACCTCTGTGTGACTTTTTGGAGTCCTCTGACTCTGAAAGGCGCCATACAGGGGCAGGTCATTTATCATTAATCATAACGTTCACCTAGTCTAACAATCTTTGATCTGCTCCGTGTCTGTTGCTAGAAATCGTCAGTACGCTTCATTTTCTGAGGGGGAATGGCGGTGCTGTTGACAAATTTAAAGAGCAAATCAGCTCTTTTTTGCTTTTAAGACTGAAACTTTAAATGAAAATGTTCTTTTCCTGTTTTTGCCAAACGCTCACAATAAAATGGTAATCGTTAATTCTTCAACAAAATCTTTTGAGCTGTTAGGGAAAAGGCAAAGCCACGAGTCACAAGAATAAGTGTTGTGCGATGTGAAACAAGCTCTTTGTTTTCTTAATCAGCAACAATCTTTATGTGATATATTTATTAACAGAGTGGCCCCTGTTTTCTTCTTGTTTGTGATCTTCTCAACAAAAGATGCTAGGGTTAATTTGCCTGTCGGAAGAACCTTCTTTACTGCCCAGTAATAAAAAGAAGCCTATCGCCAGAGGTTTTATTAGGACGTTTGGCTTCTGCTGGTTAATCTGTGAAGTCCCCCCTTCATCACCCTGAACCTCTCTCAAAGATGGCTGCTCCAAAAGACAGAAAAATCACCCATCATGCCCTGAGAGCACAAAGAGATGTGTTGTTGAACAAACGCAGATTCACCATTGTTGGTGTCGCCGTGAGGACATCTAGCACTCCAACACATTCAGAGGTCTCTCTGCTGGAAGCGTGACGTATGAATTTACCACTAAATGATGTGTTTTAAATGCTTCGGTCCCCCTGTGGGTGTCCTCCTTTTGTTCTTCTGGGTCAGAAGAGGTTGAATGATCTGCGCCCTGCAGCCTTGTGAATGGAGATGGAGCTAATGGACTAATTAACTGCTTCTTTTAGTGTCAATAAATTAAGCTGGATCTTCTGGATCCTTTTGGTTTCATCAGACATTTTTTTTTATTTTGCCCTTCATTATTGGGTTGACTGTCATGACTATAAGGCCTGGCTACAGCAGTATGACCATTTAATCCCAACATCTCCACACTATATATATATATATATATATCTCGCTAGGACTCCTAATTGTGTTAATTTTTTTAAATCAAAAAGAAAAACAGAAATTGTGTTCTCATTGTTTGTTCAGTCAGTCAGATGACGGATGGATCTTGGAACCAAGGAGCGTGGTGCACACTGACAGAGGCGAGGTCAGGCACAGGCACCACTGGGTGAAGTGTCTTGCCCAAGAAAACAACAACTTTGACAGAGTGAGCAAGTACTGAACCTGCGACCTTCCAGTTAGGGGCGAGCACTTTAATAGGGATGGGTACCGAATTCGGTACTTTTTAAGGTACCGACCGAATTCCATAGTACCGACCGAGCACCGATTCACTTCATTTCAAACGGTGCCTCGTTTCGGTACCCGTCCTTCACAACGAGAACTTGCCTAGACAGCTGCGCATGCGCAAGAGCGTTATGTCATCGGTCGCTGCGAGCCAGTTGTAAACAGAGCAGCATGGGTAGGAAGAACGAAAGCTAAAGCTTGGGTCCACTTCACTAAATGTGATGGGCAACTGGGTGATGATGAAACCAGCGACAACGATCTAAGTGAGACATCTTAATCTGCTCCGGTAGGT